AACCAAATGTTGCCAATGAGATTACACTACTTAAATATACACATGAACTCAAGTTACAAAATCCAAAGTAATGGCAACAATTTACATATACATCAAGATACATTTCAAAAAGATAACAAAAGAGGAAGTGTCGTCCTCAAATCCTTGCTTCAACCTTAAAAGGGAATGAACGAGGGGGTGAGCTACAATGCTCAGGAGGAATAATGCTAGGTACATACATGTACTACATTTCTTTGGCTTCACAAGTATAGCCCGTTTTAACAATGCAAGGGACATGCTCCCTAACGTCTAATTTCCGGGAAGTTCCTAAAGGTATCATCCTGAGATACCATTTGCAACTAGGTATGATAAACTCATAATGTAAGCATCAATATACATATGCATCATCCATTCCATTTCTAGTAGTCGAATATCTGGCCAATGAAATAAAACAGTAATCAAGTTGCAACTACACATGGATGCCAACTTGCAATAAAAACCGGAATGTGAAATAATGACAATAAACCAAGTTGAAACTGCACATGGATGCCAACTTATAAATAGATTTGAAATCAACAAAAAGTGGGATATATCGATACATATGCACCCCCGAATACACACATTGTATGAACGGGAAAGATGGTTCTTCCGGAATAAGACCGCCAGTAACCAACTGTGGTTGTTTTCAGGCTATTAACCTGCTGGGAACCACCCAAGTGGCCACTATAAATTGGGGAGACTCATGTCTCGCCTGTGAGCGCCAAGCCCTCGCATTCTCAAAGTAACGGAATAAAACTGCATAATCCACTGGTTATCCCCCAAAATCAACAAGGTAAGTATATATCAATATATATCCAAATTGCATTTCATAAGTGCACACAAGCTCAAGCTTCACATACAAATCATGCCCTAAAGTCCAATGCTATCATGGCATAATTATAAATGCAACGATAACAATTTAGGCATGTTATAATCAAAACGAATCCCAATTCTCGTATAAGCATTTTTATCACAACTAGTATACTAGGCAACCCAATATCACATCCCCGAAATATCACAATTATATCATGTCATCCCCATAGTCCCAAATCAAATATAGCATGCATACCAACATATTTAACTCATGGAAGCATTTCATTAAATCTTACACAACATTGATATCCACATAAGTACACCTCTAAAATTAAGATCACATGCCATCCACATAACCATATACCAAGTATAACTCATGAATTAGAATCATATAGCACATGAAACCTCATGAAATCAAATAGACAACATGGCTATCAATCAATATCGCAATATTGAATCCAATGAACATAATAGGCATGCAAATACCAACAATATCATTGTGCTTCCATAAATACACATTTCTAACCCTAAGCATGAATTTCCAAATACACACACACACACACACACACACATGCATGTATAACCCATTCTAACTCACAAAACACAAAGAGAGCGTAGTCTTACATACGCGACACATCCCTACCTCATTTGGGATGAAAATCCCAAAACCTCCAAAATGAAAATGTTCTAATTAAGCCACTACTTCGAAAGGTGACGGGAATGACAAAGTCTCCTATGGCCGCCTCCAAATCCAAATCCGAACTCGGCCCCTATTGAAATATATAAATATTTCTATATAATTGTGGAACAAAATCCTCCACCAATCATGGTGATTCGGTCAATTTCCTTCCATATGCCTCCTTTGACTATTGTACACCTTCCAAATATTCTTATTTTTATCATGCCTATATATAAGATCATTGTACTCAAGTAATATACAGATCTGAGTAGTAAAAATATAGCCCTTAGTGGCCCTTTGTCCATGGATGTAGGCCTTCGTGCCGAACCATGTATATGCCTGTGTTCTCTATCTTTCTCTCTTCCCTTTTCCTATTTGCATTTCTTATTTCCGCATCCAATTTTAATATGGTATCAGAGCCAAGTTGTTCTTTTAATCCCATTTAGAATTTCAGGGGGAGTATTGGAATTATTATCATGGAGCATATTCTCTATGTCTTTACATTCCTTTCTCGGCGTAGTTCCAGCTTTTCCCGGCATTGTTCCGGTCATTTCCCGGCGTTGTTTCGGTTTTTCCCGGCGTTGTTTAGGCTTTTTCCCGACGTAGTTCCGGCTTAGTTTCGGCCATTTCCCGGCATTGTTCTAACTTTACCCGGCGTTGTTCCAGCTTTTTCTCGGCATAGTTCCGACCATTTCCCGGCGTAGTTCTGATCTTTCCCGGCTTTGTTCCGGACATCTTTTCATCATCTCTCAAGGCGTTTCTTTACCAAGTTAGGCATTCATGATATTCATGCTCCAACTTGAGGGGGAGTATTGAAATATTTCTATATAATTGTGGAGCAAAATCCTCCACCAATCATGATGATTTGGTTAATTTCCTTCCAATTATAAATATTTATATATAATGGTGGAGTAAAGGGCTTCTCCACTTTGTGTGTGGTGGTGTATTTGTCTTGAAAGGAATAGGAGATATTTTGAAGGAAAGGCGATGTTAGTTTCGGTGCTTAAATTCTCAATTCTGTCCACTCTTTTTTGTTGGGTTTCAGGGAGAGATCATAGTTCGTTGGAGGAGATTGTTGACTTTTTGGCCTCCTTGAAGGCTTGAGGCCTTTGTGGTCTTTTGTATTTTTCTGGGATCCGCTCCCCTTTTGAGCGCTTTTTAATAAAATTTTATTTATCAAAAAAAAAAAAAAAAAAAAATTCCTCCACTAATCATGGTGTTTCCTTTGAGTATTGTACACCTTCTATATATTCTTATCTTTACTATGCCTATATATAGGCTCCTTGTACTCAAGCAATATATAGATCTGAATAACAAAAATGTAGTCCTTAGTGGCTCTTTGTCCATGGATGTAGGTTTCAGTGCCGAACCATGTATATGTTTGTGTTCTCTATCTTTCTTTCTTCCCTTTTCCTATTTGCATTTCTTATTTCTGCATCCAATTTTAAAAAACTCAAAATGCTCGGAATAAAAAACAAAACCAAGGGTTTTGAAGCCCTTGGTGTCCACGTCGTAAAATCTTCGTACGGTGAGTAAAGAATCCAAACCCGAACTCACCCCAAACTCACAAATGTCCGGAATTGAAAATAGGGACAAGGGTTTTGAAGCCTTTAGTGTCCTCGACCTTTCTCCCTTTTATGGCTAGTCAAGAACATGAGTGGAAGGCAAGGAAAAGGAAGCTCAAAGCTTGGGCAACAATGGTGGCCACGGTGAGAGGAAGGAGATGACTATTAGGGGAAAATAAAAGAAAAAAATGAAAAGATATGATATGATATTTGCAAAACATCACAAAACACATAGTTATACACCACCTCTCACACACATACACTTGTCATCAATCTAGCCCTCTAGTTGTCACCAACTTTCACAAATTGCACAAAAGTCCCTCCATAAAAATATCTAAAAAGATAATTGCACAAATGCCCCCAAATGAAAATATCTCCAAAGATAATCGCACAAATGCCCCAAATGAAAATTGTTGTACAGTATTGTATGAGTTGTCACATTTGTACAGTTAGTATTGTATGAGTTGTCACCTACCCCGCATTTTCATATATAGAATTACCATGTATAGGGTTTTCTTGTTCTTCACTCACCTACTCCCGTAGCTTCTCCTATATAAACACTATTGTATTATTGTATTACTTACTTAATAACATATACGTTTTCATATACTCTCTCTCTCTCAACAAAAATAATATAATCGCATACAAGTGCAAAATAAATCCCACGATGTCATGTAGATAAAATATGCCTGATGGAATGAATCAAGTGTTGGGAACTATTCCCCAGCACTTGACCAAGCCTTGGGCCCACACGACCCGAAGACGAAAAAGAAATAAAATAATATACATATATGCATATACATATACATATACATATACATATACATATACATATAAATGTGAGAAAAATGAAAAAGGACACTGGTCCTTTCACTCTCCAACTAGGAAGCACGATCCTTGCCAAATTGGGCATTAGTTGATGAATCGAAAAAAAAGGTCAAGTAGACGGCCAACAAATCTGTCCTCCCTTTACATTGTGTCGCTCCGAGGATGAAATGGTAAACAGCCTTCTAGGAATCTAGACTCTCAAAATGACACTCAAGGCATCCATGGAGGTAGAAAACCATGAAGAAAATAAGAAAAAGAAGTTACTATTTATTGGAAAGCATCCCTTAAAAAATCCTGGCGTATTTTTTGTTACAAGTAACCCAAATATTGGTGGCCAAAACACTATTCCAAGGAGTTTTGGCAGTCTCTATAGAGTCAAATCCTGAAAAGAAGTCTGAAGTTCGGATATAATATATGTTGGAACAACCGAAGAAATCTCTGACAAGGCTGTGTATTTTCCAGAGACCCTAAGAGACAGGGCTATGTATAAATAGGTGGATGTTTGTCTAGCTAATCATTTTGCACATGAAACAAATGTTCTACCTTAATGCTTTATAAGAGCAAATCATTCCTATCATCCCTGTTGTTAGCAAGTGGCCAAATCAGAGCCTCAACTTCTGATGGGGCCTTGCTTTCTCAAAGGAGCCTTTAGATTCTAAACACTATTATCTATTATCATAAAACGTCTGACAGATAAATCTCAATTTGGAGGAGGAGAGAGGCAAGCTCCCAAACTTCCTAATCATTGAAATGGAATTTCCAGGAAATGTAGTGGAGAAGATTGGAGGCATAGGATGGCTTAAAAAATTAACAGTAAGGGCGTTGTGAAGCCAACCTATTCTGGACAGGGGAGGAAAGAATTTTGAGAGACTAATCACTCTACATTAGGTCTCCCTGAAATGGATCTTAGGTCCATATCCAACAATGTATCTAGTATGATTTTTGCATTATCTTCTAGAATCATTCCTATTGCTGCATTGCATCATCATACATCATTCTGATGATATTGGAATCAGTGACTTTCTGGTATTTCAGAATTTTTATCTAATGTTCCTTTCACCTAGGATGCTCTATTAACTTGATATTTGAATTTTCAGAGTGCAGGGGTACAGTTTCCTCAGAGACCTCATGTGATTCCATTCAATCATTCTACTTCAAATTCGAACAAGAATCAGCCGCCTAGTGGGGAAATTGCTTCTTCTGGACATGAAAGGGTTCCGCCACAAGCAGAGTCTAAAGTAGTTGCTGAATCTAGGTAAACACATCATCGTCTTCATCCTTTACCTTAATCCCATATGAACCGGGGGTTGGCCAAATGAATTCTCTTTTACACATCCATCTTTGTAGTTACTTCTGAGCTGCTTAGGCTTCTATTTTCCCTTTTGTTTTATTGCTACTGGAAGGTTTATGCCGTGTCCCCTACCTCCTAAGGTTGTTTCATTGCACAGAAAAGTAATTCAATTTAGGACAAAGCAGCGCATAGCTAGTTGTCCAGGAGCTATTCATTTCAGGTTTTATTTGCTTACCTACCTTGTGCTCCTAATCAATTGGCTTAGATTGCTGGCTAAGGGCTTTTTCAAGTATACAACAGCTTAATTTGATTAAAAGATAATGTATTGGCAGAAGAAAATGCTAAATTGGCATATTTCAGTGTTCTTTCCAATTGGTGTTACAGTAGAATCTCCAACAGTCCCTCCCACTTCTTTTCCGTTGTTAGTTTTCTAGATTTCAATACCAGAACACTTGGTGTTATAGTAGAATCTCCAACTGTCCCTTCCACTTCTTTTCCGTTGTTAGTTTTTTAGATTTCAATATTGTTGTAAAGCATAAAACAGAAGCGAAGAGATAAATAAAAAAAGTAGAACACTGATATTACGTGGTTCAGCCACTAGGGTCTACATCCACAGCACAAAGAGCCCAAAGGGCCAAAGGGCTACATCACTTTTATAATACTCTCTCAATTCATATACAATACAATGGTGGAATACCAAATCTTCAATAATAGGAAACAACACCAATTACTGAAAGATTTTCATCCACTGATTCCTACATTAAATCTTCAATACTCCTCCTCAAGTTGGAGCATATATGCCCAACTTGCCATTAAGATAACGAGTAACAATAAGTGTGAATGATGAAGAGAGAAGAGAGAAGACGAAGAACAATACTACCGAACGCATCGAAAGCCCAAACAAGTCAACAAAAAATGCCGGAGACACGGCGAAGGCAAGGACAATGCTATTGAACACACCGGCAGCCCAAACAAGTCGATAAAACTATCGGAGACATAGCAAAGGTGAGGACAATGCTACCGAACACACCGGCAGTCCAAACAAGTCGATAAAAACTGTCGGAGACACGGCAAAGACGAAGACAATGATACCGAACACATCGGCAGTTCAAACAAGTCAATAAAAACTGTCGGAGACACGGCAAGGCAAGGAACATTACTGCCGAACAAACCAGCAGCCCAAACAAGTCACAAATAGCACCAAGAAACCCTTAGCAACATTTTAGATGCTAAGAGAATACCCCAAAATAGGGGTTTGAACCTAGGAAGAGAAATTAGGCTCTGATATCATGTTGTAAAGCATAAAACAGAAGCGAAGATATAAATAAAACAAGTAGAACACACAAATATTACATGGTTCAGCCATTAGGGCCTACATCCACAACACAAAGAGCCCTTTACATCACTTTTATAATACTTTCTCAATTCATAGACAATACAATGGTGGAACACCAAATCTTCAATAATAGGAAACAACATTAATTATTGAAAGATTTTCCTCCACTGATTTCTCTATTAAATCTTCAATATCATTCTTAGTTAATCTTTAATCCCCACGTTCGTCATTCTATGTTGCCCGCCTTCCAACCTAAAGATGAAAAGAGGGAAAAAAAAAAAAAAAAAAAAAGAAAAAGAAAAAAGGTAAGGGGATAATTTTAACTTGGGATTTCAATGCTAAGGGGATTTTTGTACGGTCATCGACTCTCAGGTGACCTATGCTAGAATGGCTATAATGGTATATAAAAAAAAATGGATTAAAATATTAAATATGTAACCATGTAGCAAATTTGAGTCCAAGGTTCAGCTAGTCTAACAAAAAAAAAAAAAAAAAAATCTGTTTTTCCTATATTCTGCACAAAATAAAAAAAGAATAATAAAGGGATAAAATTTTAAAATTTAGATTGTGAGATATGTAACAGGTTTGCAAGGACATTCTACTATTTTTCCTAATTGATTGAGAACCCAGGTATATTCCACATATATATAGTAAATGTAAACTTATATGTGTCTGAGCCTGTATTTGGATTATGAAAACTCCACATATGTAAATTATTAGAAAATATGGTTGAGAATTGGGTTTATAGATTTGTATACGGCAATAAAAATGTTTATAGATATATATAATGCATGTGAGATTTTTGGGACGGTTGGGTATAAGGCTATTTATAGGATTATATTTTGGGATGGTTGCATATGATTCCGTACATGAGATTTATGGATCGTTGAGTCCGGTCCTATTTATGAGATTTCGGGATTGTTGTGTATGATCCCCCACAGAAATTTTATAAATGGTTGAGAATGGTCCCCATTTGTATTTTTTTGGGATGGTTGCGTATGATCCCACACCAGTTAGGGACGGTTGAGTGCAGTCTAATGAGATTTTAGGATGGTTGTGGATGTGTTCGATCCTACACTGACATTGAGGATGGTTAAGTACGATTCTGCATAATAATTAATTAATCGGATACCATATATGATATTGAGTTATTAAATCTAAGATATGTTGAATAGAAACAATGCATAAAAACATTGTATTAAGAATAATGAAAAATAGTTAATAAAAAGGATTTACACAATTAAGAAAGAGGGTATCCTTCGTGTACCCTCCAAGTGATGTTGCTGAGAAGTCCATGTACTCAAACTGTGAGTTGCACTATACAGAAGTGATTAGTTAATTTAACAAATTTTAGTTTTAATAACTCAATATCATACATGGAAGACAACATCTTATAAAATGCAATTGCATATTTTTTTAACCTGGGTAATGCAATTGCAATTCAATAACCATGTGCTTGAAGTTAGGATTTGAATAATGATTTTTGATAATATGATTAATCCATTTGAATAATGATTTTTGATAATATGGTTAGTCCATGCGTGTTCCTATTGATAGTAGTGATTATAGTTGTATTATATTAGTAGAAATATAAGAAGAAGAAAAAGGAGAGAATTGTGTAAAGGCTTGAAAAAGATAAATCACTCATTCACAGCTCTAGTATTTATAGATGAAAAGAGTGTACATGCTCATATTACAAGAAAGGAAATTAAATCAAATCTAAATCAAATCACAGCATATTCCATGGCATATTCTATAGCATAATCAAATCTCTGCTAATATGGTAAGTCATTCCATAAATCGCAGCTATCATATTTGCTAACACTCCCTCTCAAATTGGTGCGTGGATATCTGAAACGCCCAACTTGGACAATGCACATTCTCAAACACAATCTTGTTGACGCCCTTTGTAAGGATACTTGCAAGCTGCTGAGAGCTTGTGACAAATGGAGTGCAAATCTGAGTAGCGATGATTTTCTCTCAGAAGAAGTGCCGATCAACAAATAAAATAAAATAAAATGTCTCCTTAGACCATAAACAATTAACAATTAATAATGTCTCCTCAGACCATAAACAATAACAATATCTCCTCAGACCATTCCCCTTCATACATATGCTTAAACAATGTAGATGAAAAAATCAACGTCGTCTCCTCATACTGTAAAAAGAAACAACTATGTCTCCTCAGACCATTTATGAATAGATGGTGCCAAACTCGGAACGCCCTCATTGAGGTCGGACCACCCTGCTTACCCAACACCTCCCGGATGGGCGATGTCACCTTAGACCATTCCCGAATGAGTGGTGCCGAACTCGCAATGCCTTCCTCATACTGTAAAAAGAAACAACTATGTCTCCTCATACCATTTATGAATAGGTGGTGCCAAACTCGGAAAGCCCTCATTGAGGTCGGACCACCCTGCCTACCGACACCTCCCAGATGGGCGATGTCACCTTAGACCATTCCTGAATGGGTGGTGTCGAACTCGTAATGCCCTCATTGCAGTCGGACCACCCTGGCTTTGATATCAAGTAGAAATACAATATAGAAAAACAAGGAGAGAATTGTGTAAAGGCTTGAATGAGATAAATCACTCATTCACAGCTCTTGTATTTATATATTAAAAGAGTGCACATGCTTATATTACAAGAAAGGAAACTAAATTAAATCTAAATCAAATTACAACATATTCTAAAGCATATTCTATAGCATAATCAAATCTCTGCTAATATGGTAAGTCATTCCATAAATCGTGGCTATCATATCTGCTAACAATATTTATATTTATACAATTGCGCAAGGGCAACACTTGTGCGATGGTACTTGTTGAGCTGTGAGTTCACTCATTTATTTATAATTTCAGATTAGTAATTGCTAGCAACGGATTTTTATTTATTTATTTATTTTTAATATCTAACTATAGAGATATTGATGGGTTGAATTAATTAATGCTATAATTGTTTAATTAGTGCATGCAAATGTGATGTTTTTGTTTATGCACCGTATTTGGGTATGGAACAAGTTTTTTATGCATTCAGATTAGAGTGGACATTTTGATGTTGTTGTGAAATTATAGTTTAACGCAAATTTTGATAAAGTTGTCACTCAGGATTAAGCATGCGCACAGAATTAGGTAGGAAGTTTAGTGGTTTCTTGATGAATTAGGGCTTATTTATGGAGGGAATTTGTTGATGTCATTTAATCTTTAGTACATAAATGTGATTCTTGGTGTTGTTTGATGCTTAATACAGTAAATGAATTGGAAGTGAAATTAAGTACGAATCGAGAATAAGTAGGAAGTTTAATGGTTTCTTGAGGATATAATGCTTATTTATGGATGGAATTTATTGATTTCTATTACTTTTAAGTACATAAATGTGATTCTTGGTGTTGTTTGATGCTTAATAACAATAGATATATCGGAAGTGAAATCTTGACAAGAAGTTGAGATGACTGAAAGGGTTACCACAAGTTAAATATGATTAATTCAATAATTCCTAAGTGGAAATATGATTTGAGTGGTGAGTGGTATTTAGAAGCTTCATTGTTGATACAATAGGCGATTTCAAGATTGAAAAGAATCTGTATATTGCCGTACAAAGAATGGTTTACAAAATTTTAGTTAAA